TCCCGGCGCGCAGGCCCGTCTGCCGCCGGGAGGACCCCTCAAATCTTCACCGAAGACGGCTGACAAAATAAAGCATAATGATGAAGGGGGCTGCGGGGGAGGGGGGGCGAGAGAGCCGTGGAGACGCAGACACAGGCATAACAGAGAGGGAGCAGGCTGGAGCATGCGCGCCTGAATTGCATGCATACATTGCATGAATTGCATACATACGTACTCGGGGGTCAGCCCGTTGGATATGGTGGGGCCGGCTTCGTTAAGACCCCGTTGCTTCTCGCGAGTTGCCGCATGACTCTTTGGCTGCGTTAAAGATGCCGGCTCCAGCTAGAGAAGATAAAGCCGGAATAAGAAAAGGGAATCTCTTTTATACGTAGAGTTATACAAGTGCTAATCCAAAAGGCTTTGGGTTTGAGGTTTAGAGTGTTGTGTGAACCCAGAGATTGTGATTTGTATCTTAAAGGCTGGTGTGAACCCACTCTGTGAGTGGGCTCTTCGAGCAAAAAAAAATTAAACCAGCACGGATTTCACTATTACCATTGCCATTACCAGTCCCAATTGCCTCTACTGTATTCTAGTTTGCTGCAGGAGGTCGGTAGCCTCATTTCCCATGCGGAGAAAACTGCCTGCGCCTTCCCTTCACCAGCCAGCAGGAAAAACGTCTGCCAATCACATCGCTGCTATGACTGGTAATGATGATTAGATCTGCGGGTTTAGCCATCTGTCAGAATTGCCCCCTCTCTCAGGCTGGGTATTAGCTGCTGGGGCTGGGAGGGAGGGCAGGGAAAGAGACAGAAGATTGGAGCTAGAAGATTGGGATCAACCCAAACAAGAGCCTACAGGCATGGGGTGTTGTGCAAACTGCTCTTAGCCTCTTCAGACCAGCACTACTGTAAACCCATATTCAAAGGCAGTCCCAACAATAGCTGACAGGCACACAGAAGATTGCGCAAGCCACCTTTCTTGGCCACTCTGTTGTGCAACCACCCCCACTTATCAACTGCTGACCCTGATGCTTTGAGATACTGTGCTCTTCTGGAAGAGCAGTAAACCCTATTTCAAAAGCAGCCCCAGCAAGCGCTGACAGGTATGGTGGGAGGGCCTGCAAGCAAAGAGAAAACCGTTTCTTTCTATAATGCTTCAAGGCGCGGTCCTTCCCCACTATCACTGCTAGCCAGCTGCTATTTGGGGCTCACCCAGGTCTCCAAGTCAGGGAATAGCTTGGAGAACTGGTACCTACCAGGAAAAAATCTGGTTTGAAAGAAACAGACTCTTCCATTGCTGAAAGCAGAATGGCTCTAAAGGACGGGGGGGGGAGGGGGGACGCGTAGGTGTCGGCTCGGACCAC